ATATATATATATATATATATATATATATATATATATATGCAGAGGTTTGAGTATGTTATATTACAAGAGTTTTGGATATGACAATCGGAAAGTTATGTGACAACCACAGTCAATATAAAATATGATTTAGGAATAGCATGTAACAGAATAAAATTTTGACATTGTTTGGCATTCATAGGTATTGTAATGCCATTAAAAGTTTATTTTTTTGAGGGAACTGTATGTAACAGCCTTTTCTGATGCAAAGTATGGTAACAAAGGTGTGTTTAGATTGGGAATTTAGAGTTTCACGGACAGGTATACTTCTTAATGGCATAGAAAACCAAAGTGACATGTTTTAAACCCAGCTATGGCAAGCAAAGTTTGGATCTCTGTCTGGAAATGAAGCTACCAAGGTAATGCTTCCAGTTATACCTCCTTTTCAAACCTCACGTACCTTATGAAAATATAACAAGGTATTCGTGCTATTTCATACTGAAACATACTAATTAAGCCACTGAATGCAGTACCTTTGAATTTTTTTGCTGCTAGATTCATCAAATGGGTTCTGTAAAACAGTCATCCTTGTACACATGATAGATTTAGGTAAGCATGCAGGGGTTAGTGATTTGCTTTGGACATGACAACAACAATGATACCTGTGGTGCAGGGCGAATGTCGATATGCATGGTCATTAGACAGAGTATGGAAACATGGACTTTAACAATATCAATATCATTTCAATATAAAATACTCAACCTTCTGTATATGTAAATTAACTCTAGAAATAGGTGAAAGAATGATACAGTTTTTATCTTAACAAACAATTAAGACAAGAACCATACCTTTGAATTTGAAATCATTTGTTTGATATCTAGAAATCACCAAAGACTTCTGTTGTTGAAAATATCACATAACGACATTATATGCTTAAAATGTATCACTCACCGTTACTTTTTGAAGCTATTTATAGTAAATTTTAACACACAGAAGCGGAGCTGGGTGGTTGATTGGTTACCTGTAAACACCATTTACAATGTTTAGTGCCACAGAAAATAATTAACTAATCAAAATTAATGGTTTGATTATTACTGTTTTCAATTATTCCAACTAATCAAAATTATGGTTTTTGTTATAATTATGGATTAATTCATGGTTGTTTAATCATTTTATTATTATGACACTTTTTATTTAGAGCTCCAGAAATCATACTTGGCCTGCTATTCTGTGAAGCAATTGATATGTGGTCCCTAGGCTGTGTGATAGCTGAACTTTTTCTGGGGTGGCCTCTGTATCCAGGGTCTTCTGAGTATGATCAGGTAATCCAGAGTTTCTTTGGCATCATATAGATATTTTAGGTTTATATGTAATTTTGTTTGGTGGTATCGTATAAAGTATATGTTTACACTACTTAGCTTTACAGAAGTATTCGTTTTAATAAGTTGATGGTTTTTAAGTGAAAAGTGAAAATCTCGTGGGATTTATCTGTTTATTTTGCTTAGCTTACAGTTTCATGTTATCGATTTATTTATAATTTTTAGTTTAAAAGAACTGCTGATACTGTTTTAAAACTAATGAAAACAAAAAGTGTAAATATCCCCCAAAAAAGGGGGAATTCAGCAAAAATTTTTTTATTCTTCAGAGGTGTAATGTTTGAGAGGGAGTATAAGACCCGTATAAAGGCAGTAAATTATAAATTGAAACTTTAAAACTCTACTCAAGAAAGATCATGATATTCATTGAAGTTTGTAAATAATATAGTTTTGTTATAAAACAATGAAAAAAAATTCATTGTGGCTCTGTGGTTGTTTATAGTGAAACAATTATCAGTTATAAAATGTTTGTTCACTTTTTGGTGTTATCAACAAATGTTGTATTTAAGGATTACAACATAACACCTGTTACAATGGTCGTTTACTTCTGATTTGACATATTAGTGTTATCAAGAAACTTTAAGGATGACAACATAACACTTGTTACGATGGTCGTTTACTTCTGATTTGATATATTTGTTTACAGTAATGTTATTGGTTTGTCACTCAGTTACTGTAAACAAGTTGTATGTAAACCAGCCTAACTTTTGCCATATTAATGTTCTTAAAATGTACCTGTGTGTGAGACAAAGCATTATTAGTGCTAGAGTGTGGGATTACGATATTATATACTTAATAACTACGCAAGGGTAACTTTGGCTGTTGTTGATACAGATAAGATACATCAGTCAGACCCAAGGATTGCCAGCCGAACACATGTTAAATAATGCCACCAAAACATCACGTTTCTTCTACAGAGAAACTGACAGCAATTATCCATTTTGGAGATTAAAGGTAACTTTATTTATCATTATCTGTAATATTCCTTTTATTTGTGAAATTATATACACTGTCGTATCAAATTGTGTAAATCCTCAAGTTTGATGTGTGCTCATTCCCTCCTTTTACACTTTTTTTATTTCATATTTATAAACGTGAAACTGAAGTTTTGCCTTTGTTTACCCTTTAAAATATTATATTGTTAGAAACAGCTCACCATGTCTGCTTTTTATAGAATAACAAATCACTACATAGGTTTGTAATTGATTTTAAAAATGTATTGCACTTTGTAAAATTTTGAAAGTTTCAAGTTTTGGTTTACTATTATTGAATCATTAGAATTATAAATTTTAAGAATAATTTGTACTATGGAATGTTCGTAAATTATTCAACCATTTCATTAAGTAAATGATAACTACATATGGTAAATAATTACACCTTGTGGTATAAAGGGCTGACACCTCAGATTTGTCCATGGCCAAGTTTTGCCATTAGTATGTCTTGACATGGGCACTGTTTGTGGCCTGAATGATAATCTCCACCCATGTACGTGCCATTATTGTTGCAACATTACTACTCTGGTAGCTTTGTCTTATAAACAATGCCTTTCTCATACCCCCATCTAAACTAGCATCAAAAAACTTTGGGACATCATTCTTCTACATGCCACAAAACAACTTTCTATCTGGTGTGGTTTATATTCAATTCAATTAAAAAGTGGTTCAGTAATTTATGAACACCCTGTGTATCCACTGAAATATTTTTTTCAACAAATCGTCGTAGGTTAACACACTATAGGTTAGCACATTATAGGTTAACACATTATAGGTTAGCACATTATAGGTTAACAAATTATAGGTTAGCACATTATAGGTTAACACATTATAGGTTAGCACATTATAGGTTAACACATTATAGGTTAGCACATTATAGGTTAACACATTATAGGTTAGCTCATTATAGGTTAGCACATTATATACTCATATCTGCACTTTAAAAAAAAAGATCCGTACATGATGATGTTTTTTTTTCCATTCTATAGACCCCTGAAGAACATGAAACAGAAACTAATATTAAGTCTAAAGAAGCCAGGAAATATATTTTTAACTGTCTTGATGACATGGCACAGGTAAGGATAAATCTTGTAAAAAAATATACACACCATTTTTTTACATACCCTTCCTTAACATAGAGAACAGACTATGAATATTAATTCATGTATGTTATGAGTTTTAAAATATAGAATTATATTTAATAATATTTAAGTTAGAGTATTAAGGGAATCAGGTGAGGTTTATTAGTTAGTGTACCCAGACTGTGAATCAGAGGATTTTTGGCACATGACCCTTTGCCACAATAATGAGTTTTATACTTTAGAGCCATTGGTGAGTTATAAGAGTGATGGTCAATTCCTACTATTTGTTTAGATGAGAGTATATTAAATTGATGTTTGACTGTAGAATTTCATTCATGTACCTCTTATTTAACCCATTTTCTGATAAAAAAGTTCTGCCATTAAGCACCATTTTAACCCCTTTTTTTTTGGTCTGGTGAGCAACTATTATTTAAATATAATAATATTTAACAAGAAAAAATGTAAAAACTATTCCTACAGGTAAATGTGCCGACAGATTTAGAAGGTGGTGAGCTGTTGGCCGAAAAGGCAGATCGTAGGGAATTTATTGACCTTCTCAAGAGAATGTTGACGCTTGACCAAGAGCGAAGAATTACTCCTGGAGAAGCTCTGAACCACAATTTTGTATCTCTAAACCACCTTATGGATTATGCACATTGTGCCAAGTAAGAATTGTGACTAGCCTAAGATATTTCACAGCTGGTTGTGCCAAGTAAGAATTGTAACTAGCCTAAGATATTTCACAGCTGGTTGTGCCAAGTAAGAATTGTGACTAGCCTAAGATATTTCACAGCTG